AAGAAAAGCGCGAATTAATAAAAAAAGGATCTAAACAATGTAAACCGCAGCCATTTTGACATTGATTACGATGTTGATAAATGACTGAAGTTGAAGAAGTGGGTGATACAACTATAAAACCCAATTCCAAACAAAATCAAACTTAGTGACTTACTTTCCTGGCAGCAATAACTTGGAGATGTGATGGAACCCGAAGATTGGATCGATTCATTTCCTTCACCCAAAATAAAAGAAAAAGGACGATCAAATCCACACCAAATCTCTCAACTCAATTAACGGAAGAGAACAAAAGAAAGGAAAAAACTCAAAAACCCTACCATTCTCAAAAGAGAAGCCCTTCTTGAGAAGCTCCACTTCTTTCTTGACAGAGGAGACGCCGATGATCTTGAGGCGAAAATATGTTTGCTGTCATCTAGGAATATGCACTTACTTGTGAAGGCTCTGAAGAACAGTGAGAGAGTGCACTTACCTGGGAAGACTTTGAAGGCAGTTCATGGCGGATTCCCGCGAGAATCGGCGGCAGAATACGATTACTCCACCGCTGGGAAGAATTGAGTTCTATCAAGAGATAAATTTAAGAAAATTATTTGAATGGCTAATCAAATTCGTTTTATAAAGATACGGCTATGATTATGCCACTTGCAAGTGCAGAGTGTCTTTTGATTTTATCACGAGATTGTCGTATTCCAACCTTTCTAACTCAGATTTTGATTTATTACCTGAAAAATTAAATATAAAATTATTAAAGAAATAAACATGATCTATTTAGCTTCAATTCCTTTGTAGTTTAGTATTAAAGTTAATTATAAAATAATTTTCTACATTTTTCATATGTTTATTTGCGACTTCATGACAATTCATAGTTGTTAAATCCAAAACTGCTTAAGAAACGCAATAAAAGAATAGAGTGTAGGATAAAAAAAAAACAGAAAAAACTGCGAAGAATCGTATTTATAGGCACGAGTGCTACAATTATAAATTTGTTCTCTAATTATTAGCTTTTGATTGGCCACTTTGATAAATTACAGAGAAAATACAATAAAAAATCAAGTGTGATCGTCCGACTGATATTGAGTATGATGATTGCTAAGTCTAATCGATTGATTGTCTTAGGATTGTGCGTCGATAATCGATTGATGATGGTGTCGATACTTGATCGATCGCCCCAAGTTGTATCATTCTTATGGATTGTCTTTGAATGACCTCTAGCCCTTTAGGTTGCTGACAGATTAGATGGTCCCATGTGTGGTCGATCGGTTAATCATCC